AAAGGACCGACAATACACATTTTTATTAAGTGACCTCGGAACTTGAATTCTATTCCCTAAAATAATAAAATTAAGTTAGATGAAAGACACAAACACGAATAAACCATTGGCGATAACACTCTCAAATATCTTTTGTTACTTAAAGATGAAAAACAGAAATGAAATAAAATGAGTCCGGTTGTATGGAAATATTTGTTTTTTTGTATATTTTCACCAGTCAGGTATATAAAAATGAAATAAATAAAATAAAAATATCTTGGTCAATTAATATAAAATCCATTTTTTAACAATTGTGCAACAAAGTCGAAGGTCATTAAAAATTATTGGCTTATTGAGTGAAATGACAACATTGAAAACTATCAAAATTATCAAAAAATACCCTTCCAGTGGTGAATATAAGCTGTGTTATTTTTTACCCTTCTTAAAAGCTTTTTGATAAAGAATTGAAATACATCAAATGACAAATAAAAAATGTTACTTAACACATTGAAAGTAATCATATGAATCTAATATGGTATTACGACGAAAACCAAGTTCTTGAAAAGATGACCCTTGATCGTTCACATGTGTGCTTGCAGACAGTTTTACAATCTCTATTAAATACAAATTAAAAACTTTAAATGTTAATATCCATTTTCCATACATCTTGGCTTTTCATTTTCGCTTTTTATTCAGATTTTTAGGTCTTGGCTGACTCAATTGTCATAAGATGCAAGATTACATCGAATTATGTACACTCCCTTTAGTCACAAAGGTTAATGTGATTCGCTGCATTGCAAAAGACAGATTGGTTCACTTTTGTCATAAATACCGCTCCTTGGCAACGAAATGTCAATCACAGTCTGCATTTGAAGGTTTATGTCGATAACAGACAATTTGACTCATTTTGAATCGAATGTTAAATACAAAATTTCAGAGATGTTCAGGTTTTGACGCGATGAAAGAGTTAATCTATTATATTGTTACAGTATATAAATTAATAAAACTAAAATCTACGCACTGCATGGTAATAAAAATTATTTTACAAATATGTTTCTTTTTAGATAAGTTCTTAATGACGTTTGACATTATACCAATTAATGTATAGTTTTGTAAACTATGCTTAGTTCTTGTTATTCCCCTGGTCTAAACAAGAATTCAATATTCTGTGAAATTAAAATTCCAAAATTTCTAGACAATATTTTATTCTCAAAAAGTTAAGTTTTTTATTTTTCCTTCGCCATCTTTTGGTTTATAAATTAGTAGATTTAAAGGTTGTTAGAATTATGTATGACTGTCAAAATAAACTTTGTTTTCATGTGCTAATTCGAATTCCTTACGTCAATTTATATCAATGTAGTATCTAGGCTAAATATGCAAGAATATTCAAAATGCCTTAAAAGATTGAAAACATTATGACCTCTTCCACAAATAAGATAATTCAAATAACAACTTGTGTTAGCATTACACAGGAAAAGAAAAAACTTTCAAGAAAAAACTTTTTAAAGAAAGTCAGAAAACCCAATGGCACCCGTGGAAGATGAAAACACCCTTGCGATAAATTCGCAGACCATTTATGGACAAGATCAAGAAGATTCGCGAGTCTCTGAAAGATTTTGAAAAACTATAAAACCTTTGGTCAAAGACGTACCCACCGTTTGGATCTTTCGAAAGTCTTACAGAGGATGAGATTAAAATGCTCATAAGTCAGTTACAAACTAAATCTTGTGAGCTTGACTTCTGCCCACCAAAGTATTGAAATCATTTCTCAATGAACTTTTGCCTACGATTACCCAGCTTGTGAATCTTTCTCTGACGCAAGGTGTTTTTCCAGCTAAATGGAAAAAGGCAATAGTCAGGCCTCTGTTGAAAAAATCTGGTCTTGAACTCATATTGCCAACTATCGACCGTCAGCAACTTGTCATCTTGTCCAAATTGATTGAAAAAGCACCCTTCATCGACTAAATAAACATGTAAACGGAAACGATCTCCTCCTTCCAACGAATCAGTCGGCCTATCGTCGGTTTCACTCCTGTAGTCAGCCCTTTTTATACTCGTAAACGACATTCTTGATGCAAATGGAGCATCAAGAGGTCACTGCACTGAGAGCTCTAGATTAAGTGCTGCTTTTGATACTGTCGACCATAACATACTGTTAAATGTATTTGAAAGTCAATATGGCGTCTTTGGATCTGCGCTGGAATGGATAGATTCATATTTGAGGCCGCGTAGCTGTCGAGTGAGTGTTAACTCGAATGTGTCATCAGAACGGGAACTTGACTGTAGTGTCCCCCAGGGAAGCTGTTTGGGCCCTTGGCTCTACTTGACGTACGCAGGAACTATCTTGACATTGTACCTCCCCATTTCGTGCACGCATTTGCAGACGACCACGTTGCAAATAAACGTTTTAAACCATCACCTACCGCAGAAGCAAGCGCAATACTGAACCTCCAGGACTGTGCAGTGCAATATAAATGATTGGATGAACAGCAACAAGTTAAAAAATGAACAATTCAAAGACAGAGTTTATTCTTTTCGAAGTCGTCCACAGCTGAATAAGTGTAACACCAAAGAAATCAATATATGTCGTAATGTTATTGAATCACAACATTGTATACGGTATCTTGGTGCTTTTTGGATGAGTCTCTAAATTTCAAAGATCACATTAAAAAGAAAGTGTAGAACTGCTATGTTAAACTATTTCAAGATCAAGAGCATTCGAAAGTATCTGACAAAGGAGCCGCTGAAACACTTGTTTTATTCTTTAGTAATATCCCATTTAGATTATTGCAACATCATTCTATACGGCATATCTTCAAAATGAATTAGCCAAACTTCAACGTATTCAAAATATGTGTGCCAAACTGGTGTTAGGTCGATCCAAGTATGAAGTTCTAAAACAGGCATTTATTCGATCTGCACTGGCTTCCGATTTAAGCACGAATCAGTTTCAAGATACTGACATACATGTATAACTGTTCGGTAGGAAACGCACCATCATATTAATAGAGCTTTTGTCTCATCCAAGTGTCAAAACGAACCTTAAGATCATCTGAATCCTCTGTTGGTTGTTATGTTGTTCCTTTAATAAGAAGAGGACTTTTTCTGACAGAGCTTTTAGCACGATAGGACCAAAATTGTGGAATGAACTACCTATAAATGTGAGAAAATGTGAATCTGTTGAAATTTCAAAAGACAACTGAAATCATTTTACTTCAAGGACTTTTTTGCACTTTTTTAAGTGACGCTGAAGCATTGTCTGTTCCTAATTGTTTTGTGCATGTTTGTATATTTCTATCAGTTTTTATTATTTTCATTGTACAATAATATGGGCGCCGTCATGACATTTTGTACCTTCGGACAAGTTTTTCAAACACCGGTTAAAAGTCCGCGAAATTGTTCGCAGTTTATGTCGGCTTTTCAAGTACCTTGTTGCCGCTAGATCATGAATTTCCGTGTTTTGTAGGCGGAATTTAGACACCCATGTCTGAGAAGAATGATTTTCAGGTATTTTTGTATCTTTATATGACTTAAAAAACAAAAAATACAAAGATTTAAAGTGCAAAACTAGATTTTTTTACTCTTTTGAGATGTTGCGTCTGCTGTCAAATTTGACAGATGATTTGAGCGCTTCAGTTAAAAAATGAGGTTATTTATGGTGAAATTATGTTTTTATTTGTGAACTTGCATCCTGAATGTAATATATAACACCAAGTATTTAGCAGTTTAAGTTTAAGATGTAAATTTTATCGAATAATCCCGATTTTCAGTGGTTTTACTTCTTAGCAACAGTATATACAAAGGAATTGCCTCCCTTCGTAACATAGTTACAGACCAAGAGTAATCGTTCATGTTATCGATCGATTTACTGTACTATAGAAATATAACAATAGGAAGCAATAATAGTGTCTGTAGCGCAGTCGGGAGAGTGAAGGACTAACATGTTAGAGGACCGAAGTTCGTAACCTTGAACCACACTTTTTTTTTTTTTTTTTTTATTTTTTTTATAGTATGCATTCATTAAATAAATTGAAATTGTACCTGTAACAGTGCTTCATAGATATTTTGTAAGAAGGGAAAATATTTGTTAATATTACCTCATTTACTATCGTACCTGAGTTATTTTAACTGGATAACTGGGACAACATTTATTCATTTATATTTTATTCTAGATTATATCGATTATAACTATCATCGATCATACAATTTTATCAATAGATTATTATATTTTTTTTTTACTTTATTTAAACGCAGGAATTAGATGAGTTATATGAGGAATTTGGCATTGTTAATGAAACAGTCGAGAAGGGGCCAAATGCACATGTAACAGAGGACGAATTAAATGGAGAGTGGGGAGACGATGATGATGACCAACATGCAGAGACAATCATAGGACGTGTCCACGAGTTTGTCTACAGTGCTGCAGAGGGCATGCCGGAAGGATCAGATGGGGAGAGGGGCGAGGGCGTTTTTGAATCAGAGTCGGATGATAATAATGTCACAAGTGTACAATGTAAGTGTAAGACCAATTGTTTGTCGCAGTTTGATGCTGAACACATTCAAGGGCATATATTGTCTCTCAGGGAAATGGAGAAAGACCAAAAGGAGATGTTTGTTATGGGAAGTCTGTTGAAAATAGGTGCACAGGAAACCAGGAAAGGTAAACGTAAACGAGTTAGATATAGATATACATTTGATGGCAAAACTGTTTGTAAATCTGTGTTCTGTCACATTAATGATATTGGGCAGAGAACTGTTAAATCTTTACTAAAACATTTAAATTCAAATGGACCGGTGCCGCGAATACATGGGAATACCGGGAGAAAGCCAAGCCATGCAGTTAAGTACGAGGACGTGCGTTTCTGTGTTGATTTCCTGGTATTATATGCAGAAATCAACGGGTTAACAATGCCAGCAGCACCACGCGGAGCAGACGAGGCTGCACCTGTACTGTTACCATGTAATACTACGAAAGTGGATTTACATTCAAAAATACAACAAGCATGTGTAGAAGCCGGGCGTAAGATGTCTTGGTATAACTACATTTAAATGTGTTTGGAAGCAATGCCTTCCACACATTAAGATAATGACGGCAAAAGATGACGTTTGTCATAAGTGCGAGATAATAAGGAAACGGGTGGCTGATGCTATAAATGAGATGGACAAACTTGAGGCAGCAAACGATTTACGAGAACATATACAGGTAATATTCATTTTATTACGCGTTAATAAAATTTAAAATCCGTTCGACAGCGGAATTGAATCAAACATCCTGATTTGACTTTAACACCTATTACGCTTAATTAATCAAAACAAGTCTGCAATTTTCATGTCAGTTTGTTGTTATTAATGCTTTCAAGGATCACCTTTTACAATATGTTTATAAGTAACACTGATTTTTCCGTGCAAAGTTCTTGCGGTAATTATTTGCCTCCATAATGGAACCATACTTTTGAAATTATTGACATATCGATTGAATTATAGTTTGATACATGTGATACCAAATTTGCTATCAACAATTTAACATTTATTAAGAAAATATTTGTGTTTACTAGCATCACATGTTTATAGATATTTTATTGAAAGGTTAATAATTATAGAGTTGGAGTGATTTTTTGTTTATATTTTTTGTTTATTTACACAAACTATGTAGGACGCACAGAGAGAGCGACAGGTTTATAGACAGACAATAGAGGAGGCTCGTGAGGAAATGAGGCACACATCAGTCACAGTCAATCGACCTGCCCAGCCATGCACTAGTGATTTATCAAAAGTGCACTATACTTTCGACTATTCTCAAAATGTGACAATACCACATCATAGTCAACAAATGGGCCCTTTGTATTTTGTTACTGGCAGGAAAATACAAATTTTTGGCGTCCGTGTTGATTCTGTGTCACAACAATATAATTATCTTATAGACGAGGATGAATCGATTGGTATGTTAAGAATAAATAAATAAATAAATAAATAAATAAATAAGTAAAGAAATTTTGCTTTTTTCTATAATACAGATATTTTGCTTTTCATTATTGTAAAATATTAATTTCATATAAACATAATTATAATAAATAAAATGTCATTTTAAATGTGTGCTGTCGAAATATGAAATATACTTAGAATTGATGTAAATTAACAGGTGCTGATGGTACAGGGACACACGGGCCAAACTCAGTTATAAGTATGCTACATCACTGCCTCGAAAACCAGGGATTTGGAGAGAAAGCTTGCATCATGCACGCTGACAACTGTGGTTGTGAGTATTTTTCCGTAAATGTCTTTTTAATTAGATAATAGTAAAGCACTGAACATTCCGTTTTATATTCAAAATGCTACATTTTACAAAGCATAGTTTTTAATTTTTTAAGTTTTTAGTTTAAATGTTGAAATAAAAATATATTAATTTTTTATTACAGCGCAGAATAAAAATCGATTTATGTTAGCGTATCTGGCGTGGCGAATTCATATGGGGCTCCATGATGAGATAACACTCCTGATGGGAATTCCTGGTCACACAAAGTAATTTATGTTTTTAATTCATATTATATTTTATACTCGTATAATGCGAATAATGTATTTTAGTTTATGACAGTCCTCTACAATAATTCTGGTCTGCACAAAACGATCATTTGCTATTTTTTATGTGTTTAAACATGTATGTGCTTGCACACCAGCGGGCATATTTTATGCATGCCATAGAGACAATCTGGCCATAAGATTAAAACTAAAACACTGTCGAACAAATCGATTATTCCAGAACAAATCTACTTGCAATCATTATGTTCCTATAGAAATAAAAATAAATCAACATAAACTATAAATAAGCAATTTTTATATGAGCCGCGTCACGACAAAACCAACATAGTGCGTTTGCGACCAGCATGGATCCAGACCAGCCTGTGCATCCGCGCAGTCTAATCAGGATACATGCTGTTCGCTATCAGTTTCTCTACTTGTAATAGACTTGGTAAGCGAACAGTTAGAACCTTATCAGACTGCACGGATGCGCTGGCTGGTCTGGATCCATGCTGGTCGCAAACCCATTATGTTGGTTTTGTCATGATACGGCTCATATAGTTTTTTATTCGATTCCAGGTGTCTTGTGGATGGAGGATTTGGACATATCAAGAAGCTGTATAGACGCACGGACTGCGACAGTATTTCGCAGGTGGCATCTGTCGTGAGAAAGTCTGCTTCAAGCAATTTCCCCGTGCTCTTCCGCAAGGAGGATGGATGTCAGAATTGGACTTGGTATTCTATTACAAATTTTTGAATTTCTAAATTTACACCCCATTTAAATAAGTTTGTACAATAAAACAACTAAACAAATTAATAGAGAGCTCAATTCGGCGCTCGGCATATATGCTGTCATATTACTTGTACGTGTATTAATAATTGCTTGTCATTGTAAATTATCAAGTAGTTTATGATTGACATAATATTAACTAGTCAACATATGTTACAGGTATGACTGGAAGACATTTTTGCCGCGCTTCTTTTTACCATTAAGGGTATACAGCGGTATCACTATTTCCGTGTTACGAAAGAATGCTGTATACGTGAAAGAGCGCTCAACTGACGTAGAGCAGCAGGTCACAATCCTAAAGAGAAATGCTACAGTACCAGAAGATATTCTCCCTGCAGTTTTGCTACCGGGTGGACTTTCCCGCGCAAGGCAGCAATACCTGTACAAAAATGTACGACCTTTTGTACGTCAGGCGTATCGTGATGTGACGTGCCCACCGTTACGGGAAGAATGACAATTTAGATTTACATGTACAAATGTATACATGCATTATCTTTGTCTGTATGTTTAGTCCTAAGATTTGTTATCAATAAACTAGATATTTATATGATCTATATATTTCAAGTTATAAAATTTTGTTAATCGTAAATTAACCAATATACTGGGTACATAAGTGCTGATCCGTTTATGTGATTTCTTCCGTTATCGTTTTATTTTTATGATTTTGAAGTTTGTAACTTCATAGGACTGTAAAATAAATTCATTTGGAGTTACTGTCTTTATTGGTTCTTACACAATCCATTCTTAACACAAGGCAATTCGGCAATAAACCACGACGTTCTTTAAAACGTTCAACGTTTAAACAAACGTCGTCGTCGACGTCGGAGCAACACATTGGTCTATGTACATAAAAAGATATATCTTTGTCATTTTTCAAGTTATTTTCGTCAAATAAAAAGTAAAATCATCTGTAATAATTGGTTTCTATGAAAATTATGAAACCAAAAAATCGAAGAAAATTGCCCGAAGGGTCATTTTGTCATGAAGGCGCCCATATAATAAAGTCTAGCCCATGTGTTATCATGTGCAGGGATGCAGGGGTGTAGATTGTTACATGTTGGTGGGGATTGACCCAATCACTGTGACCGTCGCACTGCTGGGAGTATTGTGTATGGTAGCACTGGGAGTAGCACATATAAGGTATATAGCTGTACAACGCCATTGAATATGTATTCTATATGTAGAAATAGGCGTTAAATCAAGTTTTCAAGTTTCAAGTTTCAAAAGAAAAAACATGATTGCATGGCAAAATTAACCTAAAGACCATCAACATTCACAACGACTGTATTGCATGTTAATGCAAATAATTGTTCTCAAATGATGACAAGTTAAAAAAGGTTTTCTGCAGGGAATAGTTTTAATATTTTTAATACCAGACATATAATTTAAGTGTGTGAAGTTTTCATGCAGATACCAGCTTATTCATTTCAAGATGCTAGACATGTAAAATATGAAAAACAAGATCAACAAGGAAAGGCGGCGTTCAATGAACGCAACCCCCATATGCCCCCATATGTAAGTTGCATTTATTACTTTTTGTCAACTTGAAGCATTCTTCTTTCTATCAATCTAATGCAGGGTCGTTTGATAAATTACAAACTTGCATGTAAGAAGTCTTAACAAGAAAACAGTTCTAAGAAATGAAAATTGACGAGAAACAATTTCTGTGTTGTCATATTTGGATCAAAAAAGAAAAATCTAATTCATTTTGCTGTAAACCCGCGAGCAAAGTTCTATTTTTATCATAACGAGTGCATTTTCAAAACGAGGTAATATTTAATCGATCTGATAACCGATGTAGTTCAGCGAAACAAAGAAAAATATGAAAATAATTTACAATTTAGATTTCAATCTAAAGTAGTAAATGACAGGTGTTGCAATTCAATAATACAAAGTCAAATAATTTATTGGCAAAAACATATACATGTTCATCGCCAAGTAACATTTTGGCGGTACAAAGTACAGAAAAGTAAGATACATACATGATAAATTATACATATACATAATTATTTATGAGCGTACATTATTTCAAACAAATGTATTAAGTAGATTCATTTCTCAGTTGCATTGCTGAATAAACAAATTTTGCTAAGTTTACAATTACATTTTTGTTCGTACATTTCATTATTGATATGAATTTATTTAAATTAGGCCATGAGCAATAATATCTAGGTAAACATGTTTTCCTTAAGTCGTTATAATATGGACATACTAATAAGAAGTGATATTCAGTTTCAATTTGTTTCATATTGCATTTTGTACAGAGGCGTTGGTTTCTTTCAATATTTCTATGTCTACCCTCTTCAATAGCTAATTTGTGCGAAGAGCACCTAAACCTTGATAGCATTTTACGATGTTTTACATTATTAATACAACTTAAATATTTTTCTTGGGTAAATTCAATTTTAAACAAATTATAACTTTCTAACTTTGAGAAAGTATCAAGCTCGGCACACCATTGCTGTAGCTGCTGATCATAAATTCTTTGTATAATAGTATTAACATGCACAAGTGAAATATTTATCATTATTCCATAGATATATGAAAAACCTAAGTCTGACAACATATTTTTAACATTTTTTGACCAGCTATTTAACAAAATTACCATTTGCATCTTTTAAAAATACCAACTTGTATAAAAGAGAGTTTGGGGATTTCATAATTCTGTACAAGTACTTAACAATTCTGACTTTTCGCAGAACTAATAATGGAAATCGTCCAAATTCACCAAGAACCGCTGATGTTGTAGTTTGCTGACGTACACCAAGAACTTGTTTTAAAAATTTCAAATGTACCTTTTCGATGTCTGGTGCCTAATGAAAACCCCATACCTCTGAACTATATGTAAGAATCGGTAAAACCATGCTATCAAAGATTTTGATTTTTTCTGTGACATTAAGGGAAATTGATTCAAATAGAGAATTAACAGAGTATAGTGCTTTAAGCGCTTGATTAGATAACGCCTTTTGGGCTTGATAAAAATTCCCATTAGATGATAATGTAAACACCAAGATAGGTGAATGACTTAACAGCGCTAAGTAATTCATTATTGTAATATACCTCAACATTTTCATTTCTATTTCCAGATTTAAAAACCATAGCAACCGTTTTTTTTTCTACATTCACCACAATACCCCACTTAGTACAATATGTATTAAGTTTATTAAGGAGGCATTGCAATCCTTCCTTAGAATAAGAATAAAACTGTATCGTCCGCAAATAATAGTAAAAATATTTGTATATTATCTAATGAAAATGTATCAACATTATCTATTTGTAAATTTTCGTGCATATCATTTACGAAGAAAATAAATATAAATAACAATGGTGAGAGTGGTTCCCCTTGTTTTAAGCCCATATAACTCTCAAAATTATCTGTCAGGCAACCATTTGCTCTTACACAAGATTTCACACAATTATACATACTTCGTAACATTGTTACAAACTTTATATGATACACCAGATTCAATCAATTTAAACCATATTCCATTTCTGTATAACATATCAAAACATTTTTTTAAATCAATAAATGAATGCATATACCTTTTTCTTTTTCATGACGTATTATCTTATTAATAATTGAACATAAAACAAAAATGCAATCAGTAGTACTTTATCTTTCCTAAAACCATACTGGAAATCATTCAATATTTCATTACTTTCGGCCCATTTACGTAATCTCATGTCTAACAATATTGAGAAAAGTTTAGAAAATATACTAAGTAAGGTGATACCCCTGTAATTATTCACATCATTTAGGTTACCCTTCTTGGGCACTGGTACAATAATACCACTACACCACGATTCAGGATATTCATTTGAATTGAAAATATGATTAAACAATTTACATAATATTGGTGCTAAAATTGTTTTGCATTCAATAAATATCTCCGGAATAAGTTTATCTATACCAGCACTTTTACCACTCTTAAGGGTAGAAATAGCCTTTATCACATCATCGATCGTAAAGTCCATGTCAAGTTCTTCAACATTATTGTAAAATATATCATTATTATCTAAATGTTCCTCAACAAAATTATTTTTGAATGTCTCTTCGTTTGAAAATAAGTTTTTAAAATGCTCAAAAAAATCTTCCGATGACAGTTCATTTTTGCTTGATTTCTTTCTCATTTTTTTTATTTCCTTCCAAACTTTTGTTGCTGCGTGCCAGCTAAAAATGACATTTTTCTTTCTCTGATTTAAATGAAATTTAGTACGTGCTCGCCTCTTAGCTATTCTATAAAGACGTCTGTTATTAACAAGTAATTCTATATTTTGATTCGACCTGTTCTTACAATAATTTTTGTTTGCACGTTTTAAACTCTTTTTCTAGCGTTCTCACAGTCTTGATTAAACCATGAACTTTTAAATTTTTCTCTTTCTATTATTTGTATTCTTTCTTATTTCTTTTGACTCTCCAAATATACTAAATGATTTTTCATACAAAACATCTGATTTTTTCTGTATACCTATATCTAATTCAACATCATTTCTAATTACACTATTCACAATCATGTCAATGTTCGTAATTTCAATCTCAATCAATTCTTTGTAATTATCAATCTTGTCTCTATCTTCGTTATTCCATTTTAATACATTAATACTAACACTTTCATTATCAATGATTTCCGTTATACATGCAAAACTCAGATCAAGTTGAACAGGTTTATGATGTGAAAAAGTAAACAAATCATGTATTTTAAATTCATGTACAAAGGGAAATAACTCGCACTGCATAAGCACATAATCAATTAGACTTTTACCTGTATTAGACATAAAGGTAAAATTGCCTATACCTGAAAATACAAAATACCCTTGCTGCTTTAAAAAAAATTATACTCCTGCTTAGTTAATATCGCCGGAAGGTTTAGATTGAACACAATTGTTTTTAGCTGTTTACTGACGCTTTGATACTTTGGGACATTAATATCCATTTTAATTCGCTTTGTTGGTGTCCAGTTACATGTATCACAGTATTTTGATTCACCAACCCTCTAACAGTGTTTTGATTCATCAACGAATACCGTCATATTACGAATGTTAAAATCTAAAAACGTGTCTTTATATAGAAACTAATTGATACTAAATGCGTGATTTCAAAATATATGACAAATGTAAATAAACTTTCTACCAATTCTGCCTTAAACACTAAATAGAATTGTGTTGAAAAAAAATCAAGCACTTCTTTATTCTACAATTTTAGAACAAATCTTGAAATTTAGCTTCGGTAAAGAAATAAATCGTTAACTATATAAATTTTAACTTGCTGCATAACATCCATTGTCCTTTTGTACTAAAGGGTTTTGGGGTTAGTAGAAATATGGGGGGTAAATGCCCTTTTCCAAAAAACCAAAAAAACCCCCCCCCTTAAAAAACCCCCACCCAAAAAAAAAGTAAATTTTTTTTTTTAAAAGAATCTTGAAAACGAATTGTTTTAAAAAATTTTCTTACAAA